ACTGTAGTGTCTGTATTCGAGCTCTGAGAAAGATATCTGTTTAAATATTTTTGTGAAGCACTTGGTCTCTTTAGTAGATCAGTGTTTCAATCAACGATATTAAATACCCTAGATACACCACGTACGCTCAAAATGTGTCCCAACTCCCAATCAAGAAGTGCTTAAACACGTCTCAAGCACTTTCTAGTCGTCAATGAAGGCAAAAATCAGCTACAACCTCCGATTTCGTTGAACCTCCATTGATTTTCATGAAAATTGGTGAGTAGGTGGGGGATACCTTAAGAAACAAAAGTGACATAGTGCCAACTTGCGCTTTTGCCCTGGGGGTAGATGCCACCCTTTCCCGGGGGTGAAAATTATTTTAATAAAAACAATGCCAGAAATCGCTAACCTAATCTAAATTTTAATATAAAAAATTACAATATTGTTAGAAACGACGACTGCGGTAACAACCATAACGGTGTTGCAATTTTAATACACAATACAATCGAATACAATACAATTTCTACTCATTTTGATGATGCTTTACAAAATATTTGCGTTCGAATAATTTTCAATAATAAAGCGATAAGTTTTGTCAGTTGTTATTGTCCTGTTTATTCTGGCACTCGATTTAACAAAAGTAAATTTGATGCTTTAGTCAATTCCATCCCTCCCCCTTTGGTTATTGAGAGCGATTTCAACGCCCACCACACCTTTTGGGGTTGTAACTCCGATTCTCCACGTGGTAGAGATATTTTATAAGTTATAGATAGTAACGATTTGGTATTATTAATTAATGGTCAGGTAACTACTGTTGGATCTATGTCATGGCGTCCTAATCAGAGATGTGATGTAATAGGTCATATATTTCTTGCAAAAGCAGTGATAACGGCTGGGTACTCGATTTTCTACAAAAATATACACCATATTTTTGCCGCAATTCAGATGATATATCTTACAATAGCAATGTGACTAGTCCGAACACTACTTCCTTTTTTTGGAACCCTTTACCTTAGAAGAATTGAAATCTGCAGTCATCTCCAGAAAAGATACGGCTTATGGTCTGGATGGCATTTCATACAACATGTTAAAAAATTAAATAATTCTTGTTAACAAACATTTCTTAATATTTTAAACTATCTCTGGGTCCTTAATGAAATACCTGAAAGCTGGAAAACTGATTGTTTAGTACCTATATTAAAGCCTAATAAACCAAAAGCGAATCTTGCGTCAAGCTTATTATCAAGCTTATTACTGCATATATATTATATACAGCATATATTATTCTGAAATATAAAACTTAAGAATTGGCTGTATGGGCACAGTACCCTTTGCCGGGCTTTACCTTCCCAGAATGGGAAAAGAAGAAAAAAAAATGGGTGCGTGTACTTATGTAGGCGCGTGAAAAGTTATCCTTCTTTGGCATCGTTTAAAATTAGTTTTTAATTGCATGCAAATAATGAATTACAATAAATTAATAAAAAGTATGGAAAAAGACGAAGTCAATAAAGTTCAGTTTTAATTTGAAAAAATAAATAAATAATCAAAATATTCAATTAAAATCGCTACTGAATATAATTTATTAGAACATATGTGATTTGCACTTGTATGAAACTCAAACACGTATTCCGAATATACAAACTAGAAACATGTGGATAAATATTATAAATATGAATACCTATAACCAAGAAGCTTATATACAACACTGGAGATTGCAGTGCAAACAATACCTTGAAGTGAAAAAATATGGCCTTGAATGACGTCACATATGTTTGTTATCTCTTTCTAAGGGTGACCATGTTGGAATATACGTTTAGGATACATACTTACTGGTATCGTCTTTAAACAATTTATAAATCAAAGCGTTGGAGTTGATAGGAACTTGGGAACACATTATTTAATAGTAATAAAATTCACAAGTACAAAAATCATTTTATTCATATTAGATGCGTCTTATATTATGCAATGTCAAAAACGTTTATAAAAAAATTAAAAGAATATGCAAACCCTTTTTAAAATCGCCAGAAATGCCTTTTACTAAGAACGGACTAGAAACTCTAAGCTACATATTTTGGCTGATAAATAAAAATTGACCTTTTAATGGTATTGTTAGGTGTTAGGATACGGTTCGAAATTATATGCCAGTTCACGATTGACAGTTCTTTATTCACCACACAGTTCACACAATTAACACACAATGTTAATTACAAAACAGTCACTAAACACTGTATTACACTATACAAGTCTCTAAACAATCTCACTTGAACACTTTTGTTGCACTTTGATCGCCTTTGGATTCGCTCCGAAATCGCTGTTGAAACTCAACTGTCTTTGCGCGGCGCCAATCGCCCTTATATACGCCGATCGATGCATTCTAGAAAGTAAATAAATAAATAAATATTTCCAACACTCACACCAATTAGCCTGGCCCCAAAGTAAGCACTATAAGGCTTGTGTTATGGGATACTACGGTAACGGATAGAATACATAAACTGTACATATATAAGTATATTTTTTTTTATAGAAATACATATTAAACATCCATGACTGGAGTACAAATGCTCGTATTCATCACACAAACATCTGTCCCCATCGGGATTTGAACCCGGGACCTCTCGAGTCGGCGACACCATAAAACCCGGCGTACAAACCACTCGACCACGGAGGTCGTCGAAAGTCGAAGTTCTAGAAAGTACCTGTTAAATTGAGAATTACCTAGCACCCGCGAGTACGAAATACCTACTTATACCTACGCAAGTAACACGCATAACTTGTAAACAAGTGCAGATATCGTTGCACTTTCTCCTTTACGACGCACTGCATAAGGCTCATTCTAGAATGAGCCGCCTTACTCGACTTCTATTGCGACCCGCGGTGCTCTGGCAAATTCGATCTCTAGCACATTCGCGGTTCCGTTTTGAGAGCGTTTGTGACAGTATAATGGACAACCAAGAATTTCTTTAAATGACATCTTTCGGGAAGCTGAAACATAAACAAATGTATAAGACCGCTGCTAGATAGCTGTTATTAAATAGGTTTTCTACATCTAATCAACATGATCTACAGTATTTATTATAAACTTATTTTCATATTTTGAACTTTGTAATTAATATTTACAATAATACTTATGTATTTTAACTTTCTCAAAATATCTCAAGTGTAGTGATAATGGTTACCCTACAAAACCAAAATTTATATTATTTTAATTTAATAAACTGCTGAATATGGTACGAAATGTAGTGAATAAAACAAGAATAACGTTAATTTATAGCCTCAGGACACTATGATTTATAAATACTAACGTTTTATTATGATAACAACATAAAAATATAGGAATATGTTTATTTCGGTATTGGCGTAATGTAATAGACTTACCTGTGAAATTTAGTGCTCCCAAACACTTCTGCAATCTCGCACAACACAATACATATTATAAATAGCAAATTGAACAATTTAACACTTTTTAATAGTAATCTAAACATTCGAAGCGGTAGATTTTTTTTGACAGATCGGAGATATTCTTCAGTTGATTTTTTAATTAGTGTTGCTATTATACCAAAATGGTAGCAACCAGCAAACAGGGAAATAAAGGGCGTATTTATTATTCAGTTTTAAATATTGATTTCAAAGTAGTTGGTTAGAATTTGTCACACTCATCTTATAATAGTAATACAAGAGTAGGACTTCTGGAGATTGTAAAACTGATTGATATCTTGCATAGTTCTGTTTATTTTCACTTTGTGATTGGAATTTCTTGTATTTAACATGGTAATTTTAGATAGTGTGTGAGAGAGATAAAAAACATATCATGGGGTTAATGAACTCATCTTCATACAGAAGTTCTACATGCAATCTCCAGTGTTGTATATAATCTTCTTGCCTATAACTGTTACTTTATTACAAAAAATAAAGATGTGGTTTTTGGTTCTACTACACCAATGGTCAAGAGATGGCGCTGTAGTCTCCTGAATCGCGCTTTGGTTCCGTTGTTCCAGATTAATAAATACTTTTTGTTACTTTATTACAAAAAATAAAGATGTGGTTTTTGGTTCTACTACACCATTGGTCAAGAGATGGCGCTGTACTCTCCTGAATCGCGCTTTGGTTCCGTTGTTCCAGATTAATAAATACTTTTGATAGGCCTTCACAATGCAGTCGTTAGCACCCACTCAATAGAGATTCTATTTCTATTTTGTTGGTAGATTTTCTTAATGTGCGGTAAACACAAAAGTAACGCATGAAGTTGGTCGCTAAAGCGACCAACTTCATTATGTTAAAATTTTGTGTTACAGTGATGCGCGCGCATCTTAAAATTTCACTCTCATCATTTTTTCATAACGCGCGTAAAGAAGTATAACTTCAAAAAAACAAAGGAGGGTTTTTGGCGGGATTTCATCGAGTGCGGTTGGCGTCTTATTTTAATTATTCTTAAATTCGTTCATAGTGGATATTGTGAAATAAAATTGGTTTGGTTTTGTGTAACAACTGTCTGCGTAACTGAAGAATTAGTGGAATCATTAAAATATACGCTATTCCGGTCAAGTGGACGTGAGAATTTTATTGTAGTGTTGACTACCTCACAGAAGCTTATCGAAAAAGCCAACTCGATACATTTCGTGCCAAACACTCCAAGAAACATTAGAATGCGTCACACCGACATTCTTATGTATAAACAAAAAGAAGATAAAGGACACCCGGCATTTTGTGCCAAAGTTCTATACTTTTTTAATTTTTTTCTGGCAATATTTGTCATCAGCAGCTAGCTGTCAATGTCAAATACGTACGTTTGTCATCAAAAGGGTTTCTATATCAAAAAATATTAATCATTAAATAACTTCTTTCCACGATTCACTAAAAATAAGGCAAAAGTAGTTTTATGTATCAAATAATTTTGGCTTTATTTTGAGACCAAATTCAACTGTATACAAGTAAAGCATTTTTTCTATGAAAAGTGCCGGGTCTCCTTTAATTAAAGACCAGGCTGTATGGGCATTGTTCCCTTTGCCTTCCCTAGAACGGGAGAACTTCACCAAAAAGAAACACAATTCTTGCGGCGGCGAGGTTTGAAATCCCGAAACCTGTTTATTTTAAAACTTATTTGATAATTTCTATAACATTATCAAATATGGTTGAAGCGCAAAAGTTTAGAATCGAGCAAGAGATGACCAATTTGGTAAATGAACTGGACAGAAGTTATTTACGCCGAATGCAGGTTAGTTTTTAGGTTAGGTATATTCATGTGAGACTTGATTTATTATGCAATATCGCTATTTGATGAAGACTATTAATCTAAATGATGAAAGCATAATCGAAAAAGGCTATAAGATTTAACTTTAACGTTTGTCAATATGAAAAACTTGATAACGTGTTCATTACAATATTTATCTAACCAACATTAAGTTATTTAACAAACAAAAAAGTATTTTTAAGTAAACAAATAAGAACTACACATAAGCATAAAAAGCTACAAGTTCTTATTACTTATTCAGCATTAATTACAACTTGACTCGGTGACATTGATCTAGAATTCTAATTGGGACTTGAAAGATGAACTCAGCATAAATTTATATTGACGATTCAGTTCTTGTTGATTCAATGCCAATGTCATTGGGTCAGTTAATATATTCATTTTAATCATTCCCTGTAATCATTAGAAAAATAACTAACTTTAAAATAAATATACCAATTTCAGCAAAAACATATTTCTAAATTGATCCACGTTAACTTTACTTTTTCGGGATAAATGGTATCCTATGTCTCCAGTCATCATCCTGTCATCTAGGTCATAAACTTTTATGCATACAAAATTTAATCTAAATCCGTTTAGTGGTTTAAGTGTGAAAACCTAACAAACAAACTCATTTTCTCATTTTTAATATTACTAGCGGCCCGCCCTCGCTTCGCTTCAGTGTAGAGCTGAAGTGTAGACTACAGTTTTTGTTCTCAGGCTTGTATTATACAGAATGCCATTCATCTATGATTCTTCTTATACCTGCATGCAAAGTCTCAGCCCGATCGGTTTAAAATTGACAAATTTTCATACAAACTTTCATTCCCTATTTTATCCCCTTGAAGGTAGAATTGATCAAAATCCTTTCTTAGCGGATGCCTATGTCATAACATCTACCTGCATGCCAAATTTCAGCCCGATCCGTCCAGTGGTTTGGGCTGTGCGTTGATAGATCACTATGTCAGTCAGTCACCTTTGAGTTTTATATTTATAGAAGTAGGATGTATGTGTATATGTTACAACCAATCTTGAATTATCAATTATTATTGCCATGGTTTCAGGGTGACATGCACAGGTGTGCTTCGAGATGTTGTGATGATCAGGAATCTTCACTGGAGAGGGTTCATGGCTGCATAGATAATTGTACATTACAGCTGAACCAGGCTAACAACTATGTACAGGTGTGTGTAGTGTAGTTTAAAGACAACAAAGTTATTTCTGGACAGATCAAATATTTGTATGAATTTTGACAGCTCTGTAATTGGATTGTTAATGTAAAATTTCCCTCACGACCTTGCTGCAGTTACCGCGACCCACCAGAGTAATGAATCCCCCATTTTTTGGTTCAGTTTTATTTATGAAAATGTAACAGACTGGCCTATACAAAATTGATATTCGCACCATCATACAAGAGTTTGTTTAAAAATAATTTTAATTCTCAGTCATATACACTAAAGCCTTGATGACATGGGGCTAGTTTACAAGCTGCTAGAGAACTTGCTGGCTTATCTCATTACTGGTTAGAATTGTGTTATTTGAAGATTTATTTTTAGCCTTATTTTTGTAATACAATTTAATCCCTTTATTTTCAGAATGAGATAAACCATCTCCAGAACAGACTGCAGCGCTGCGTGATGGATTGCAACGATGCAGCGAGGGACAGGCTGGGGCCTGATCCTAGTCAAGAAACTGTGAGAGTTGACTTTTTGACACTTATCTAATAACCAGAGATTCTAACCAAGAACTCAATAATATTCAAATATGTTTATTACAGTGGGGACATGTCATAAATTTTAAGTGTACATAGCATTTGCTAGGGTCTACGTAACTAGGAGTAGTGATAACTTTTCTATTTTTCCAAAGGTCTAAGTGTTGTGTTACCTTTTCTTAAAAAGCTGGTGCCTGCAAGTTCAACAGTCCCCTATTTTAAATAGTCTATGTTATCTAAACCAAAATTCATCAAAAATGGTACAGCAGTGAAAACTGAACAGTCATACATACATTTCCACAACTGGCACTTTCGTACTTACAATATTAGTATAAATTATTCTTAAGGACTATACATAATGTTATAATTTTCAGGTGGACAAGTGTACGATAGAATTTGAAAAGTGTGCAGTGAAATGTGTCGATAAGCACATCAGTATAATTCCAAATATGATGAAGACCATGAAAAAAGTGTTGGCAAGTGGAAAACCACCACCAATGAACAAAGAATAAATATATTCACTCAGTATCCATTATAGGTGACAAAATATTTATAAACATTTGACAATCAACGTTGAAGAGAATATTGTGTTCAAAGTCTTTAGCCAAACATTGCTATTTTGCACTGTATATGGTTATTGTAATTGATAACACTATTATTAGTACATATTGTAAGACAAAATTTTTGTCTAGCAATAATATTAAAAACTACTTAACAGATTGTCACATAATAAATATTGTCAGGTGTGTATTTAATGCAATCATGACAATAAATACTTAGAGTCTATAGCAATACAAAACAAAAGTGTGTCATTAGTAAATGATTACGATTTATTTCCGAATGAGTAACTTACTGAAGCACACTGACAATACATAAAATTTTAATTTTATGTATTGTTAAAGATTCCATGAACAAAGAGTGCAGCTTTCTTCATATACACGGCTAATGTCAGATTGTTTTAAAGCAGTATATGTGTGAGTATGTAGCAACAAGCTTATCTACCATATGTAGTAGATATTTTTGGAACATTTCTATGCTAGTAGTGTATATAATCAAAGGAGTGTAGAAAGTTGACATATTTATTATATAATTATGCATTGAAACATATTATTTTAATAAAATAAACTTACTTCCATGCATTTCACATGCACAATGACTTTCAGAGAAGACCTTGAATGATTAAATCAATCAATCAATCTAATTTGTTTGTTCAAATATGAGTACATAATATGGTGTTAGATAATTATAATGTCTATTAATATTTTACCCAATATGGGTGTGAAACAAAATATGTATAGGTATGTATCTATAAAACAAAATCCGAAATTGTCACAAATCAATAACTTAAAGTATATTAGCAGAAATTATAATAAATAATTCTTCCAAGCAAACTAATGTTAATGTATTTTGTTAACACTGTTATGCCACCACTTCACTTGGCTATTTGTGAACTTGACAACATTATGTCCGTATCATCAGAGGCGTCTTTCCCATAGGAGCGCTGGGCCCTAGGGGGCGCCAGCGGAGCCAAGCGTTCATCTTACCTTACCTAACTACGTTTTACGTTTTTCTAATCAACTCGGTTAATAGACCAGGGTCGATGTTTTGAGACCAAAAAAAATTATAGTAGGATGAAACCCATTAGAAAAGGTAGAGAATATAACAAAAATGAAGGGAAAAATAAATTACGGGCGATCTGAGGTCGGGAATGGGGAAGGGGGTGAGTTTTTAAGGGTAAAAAATGGTTAATCTCGATTTCCGGTAAAACTGCAAGTAATTTATTTTTCCTTTCATTTTTGTTATATTCTCTACCTTTTCTAATGGGTTTCATCCTACTATAATTTTTTTTCACTTTTCACCATTTTTAAAATTATCGACCCTGGTCTATAAACTATATAATACAACATACTTGCTATACACATGCTTGCTTATTTATGTGATTTATTTCTTCTATATTTTTGTAACAGTCTATACAATGAAAAATTATTAAGTATTGTTGGCTTTCGCACCCTGGCGCCGCTTATGGTTAAGATGCCCCTGCATATCATGTATAATAAATTATTAAACTAGTGGCCCGCCCTTGCTTCGCTTCAGTGTAGAGCTGTGCTGTAGTCTATAGTTTTTGTTCTCAGGCTTGTATTACAATGAGTTTCTTCGTATAATTATAAGCCTTCCGAGAAAATTAGATATAATTACTAATATCATAAAACTGGAGAGTTTGTTTGTTTGATATTTTTTTTGGTTGAACGCGCTAAGCTTAGAAAATACTGGTCTGATTTGAAAAAAATTTTTTTGTGTTACATAGTACATTTATTAAGGAAGGCTCAAGGGTATATAACACATAAAGGTATAAGACTAGACTAGGGGAGATATAGACTCTACTACAAGTGGAAGTTTCCCTCTAATAGAAAGAGAAAGAAGATTAGAGACCGCTAGCTTTCTCTCTCTAATCGCGCGTTCGCATTGGCAACCGTAAGCATCTTACTATTTCGATGTGATGCCATTGGATGCTATGCGTCACAAGAGAGAGATATAGCTAACGGTCTCTCATCTTCTTTCTCTTTCTACTAGACGGACACTTTCAGAGCCGCCTTCCCCACTCTATTCTTATACCTCTATGATATAACATCACGCTGCGGGCAGTAGGAGCGGATTATAGATATAAAATGTTGCAAAAACTGGTAAAAAATTCCATTTGTAAACTTCCGTTTCGTGCTCTGCGTAAATGATTAAGTTTACACAAAAATCATGTATGGCGAAATTGTTCCCCCTTAAAAGTTCTATAAAAAAGTCCGCGACAGCATATGCCAATCTTTTAAGTTTGACTCACTATAACCTTTTTCCTCAAATTAACGCGGGTGAAACTGCATGGGGCCTTTAATTGTGATATAACTGTAATAGTTAGACATATTATGGTATCGCGGACTTTTTTGTAGATATTGATATCTTCTATAAAACTTTAGTACATCACTTTACTCTACTGTCAATGACTTCCGCAGCGTAAGCATAAGGTTATTTTTTGGCATTTTTTTTTCACACTCTGGGTTACGTTATCGAAGTTTTCATACGGAACCCCTTACTTTTTGAAAATACTCTATAGACTATGTTAATTAGAGATAACTACTAACTAGCAAACCAGTGAACCAAATGTTCACCAAAACCTGATTTAAAAAAAATGTATTTAATTAATTGAGAACTTCGGAGATTTTGTGTGGTTTCGTTTGAAATTCGTGATTTCTCGAAAACCGGAAGTGCTACGTTACTCAAATCTGGTTTGTAGTCTTATCAGACTATTCTTAACTTATAACTTAAATATTCTCTTTATCTATCTCTTACGGTTTGGCCGCTGAAACAGCACCACAGACAGACGGACGGACTTGTCTAATAGATGTAGGATTCTAAACGTGAAAGAAATTTTCAAATCGGTCCAGTAGTTTTGGAGCCTATTCAATACAAACAATCAAATCTTTCCTCTTTATAATATTAGTATAGATGAAAAGCATAGACTGGTGTCAAGTTTACATATAGAAAACACTAATTGCCAAGTGAAGTGCCAGCGTTATGTAGGTCTGTTATTTTGTTAGTGTGGCCATAAAAAAAATGTTGATGATCAGACCACTTAGATGTATTATAGAAATTAGTGTAAATAAATTATATCTACATTTAAATTAAAGTTTTTCATTTCATTACCTTGTAAACCTGTCTTATAGGTATAACTTATAAAGTATATTCTACTAGAAAAAATCCTCTCTGTCCAGTATGCTTATTTGCCAACTGCTATTGACAGATGGAAGCAGTGGCAGATATACCCTAAGGCCCGGTAGGCCCGGGCCGAAGGCGGCCTGATTTTGGGGCAGCCCCAATAGACACCCTAATTTGACAAAATTAAGCTCGTCGGAAATCAAAGAAATGGCCAAAGCATTGCAAATAATTTGTTTTACTGACTTGGAAGACATTTTTTTCAGAAAATCTCTCCATTTTCGTGCTCACTGCACTATAAATGTTGAAGATCTGAACAGTACTGTCAGTTTGATGAAATGGTTACGAACTGAAGGTCTTCAAAGCATTTAACCAAACATGGATATTGCTCTTCGTATGTGTGTGTGTACCCGCCAGTAACTGTTTTGGAGAATGATCATTTCTTGTTTACGACGAGTAAAAAAATATTTACGACAACAATGACGGACCAAAGTTTAAACGATCTTGCTTTATTTAACATAGAAGCTAATTTTTAAGGTTTATTATATCTTGTACTTATCTTGTACCTACTCTTAACCGGTACCTAGTTAAATAAATAAAACCTAACACCGTTTAAATGTTTTATTTAAATGTGTATTTATTCCTGAAACCTCGTAAAATATTAGAAATTAGCAGCTACTATGCGATTCAAATAAGAATCGGAAAGCCAATGACCTCCATTTGTCAAGTGTCGCTTGAAAAGTACGGTTTGCATAAAAATCTTGGAATACTTTTTTACGCACTAAGCCAATCTTAGAATAAATACCAAACATTTGTAAACAAAAGAAGGTCATAAATCAACTGGAACGTAAAGAAAATGAGTACTGGAAAAGGGAAGTATAAGAACATTAGTTTTATTATAAATACAGGTAAAAAATTACCCTTTTTTATTTTACACGAAGTTGTCGTTTTAAAACCTACAATAATCGATATTTTATTTTATAAGCGAAAGCAACAGTGATTATGATGACTACTCCGACGGTAGTGCAGAGATGAGCGGAATTAAACAGCTAGATTCTGATTAATGTTTTTTCTCACTCAGTCTTAATAAATGAATATTATTAAAAATCTGATATTTTTTCTCACTTAATCTTTGTAAAATAGTTTTATTAAAGAAAAACTTTTTTTCTCACTTTACCTAACTCGTTTGATTTGACTGCTACGACGTCTCAAAATGGCGCTCAGTCAGTCCTATTCTTAGTTGAATCGCATTTTATTAGGTATTATTTATTCTTGTAAACCCGTAGTACTTTTACCTACACTACCTTTGTAATTAATTGTGTTTAATTACATATTCAAATATTTAGATAAAAGTTGCCCATTAAATAATTTCATTATGTTGTCTATGTTGAATGCTGAGAAAGGGGAGATTGATGGCTTGGGGCCTAGGGCGGCCGAAACTGCAAATCCGCCACTGGGTGGAAATGATAATCACCAAGCTGATAGTTACCACACCAATCGATCGATGGTAGAATAGATTAGTCGATGTATATCGATAGTTTCTACCACACCAATCGATCGTTAGTCGATAAATGCAAATCGATCAATGGTAGAATTGATTAGTCAACGTCGATCGATAGTTTCTACCACACCAATCGATCGATTGTTCAAAGGAGCCACCATATTTAAGAGATTTTCAATATCACTGTTACTCATTCGAAAAGCATCCAAAAAAGCACTGTTTAAAATGTAATTTGCAGAATGTAGGCGATCTTTGGCTTTAAAAAACGGTCGCATCATGAGTGTTCTGCGTTTGCGTCTCCGTAATATTAGTACAAGCTATATTGTACTGGCCAACAACAAACTGATGGAATATAGTCGGTATATATTTCGATCGACATCGGGCGATGTTGATCGGTAGGTGTGGTAGCTTTAATTGATCGACGGATACCGGTCGACTAACCAATCGATCGATGGCCGGTCGATGACCGATTGACCCCGACTATATTCCATCAGTTTCTTTCGAAATGTATTCACAAGAGGACGCGTTGTGTGGTAACACCCTAAGGTACTTGTTCTGAAAAGCATCGATGTATATGCAATTTTCTTTTCTTTTTTTTTTTATTTATTGATCAACTATAATTTTAAACTATTAACTACACTTTATAATTTCGCCAAACTGATTAACAGTTTATTGGCGAAAAATTTTATTCCCACACTTTTCAGACGGGATTTGAACTTGATCGCTAGCTGATGTTAAACTACTTCCTAGTATAACGCCATCTGGCGAAATCTACTTGTGTTACAATGTGATAATATCGGGCCACCTGTATTGACAAACAACTGCTTAATCAAAATAACGACCTCTATAGACACTCGTCCCGATTCTGGCAAAAATAATTTTGAGAGTTATCCTCGTCATGCTCTTTAAATTTTAAAGAATGAAAAAGAGAGACTGTCGTCATTTTTTGTTTTAAATTAAATTAATCATGCCAGAAAACGGTCCACTGTATTATCACAAGTATTATTAATGATAACCAGCACCTCTAGCATGACCACCGAAACGGGATATGATATATATAGCGATATATCGACATTAACTGTCAGACTACTGTCAAACTCCACTGTAGTCCGACAGTTAATGCCGATATATCGCTTTATCATGTCCCGTTTCAGTGGTCATGCTAGAGGGGCTGGTATGAAATAATCTTTGATAATTTACTTTCTAGATAGAGCGCCACCTAGTAATAAACACTGCCATCAAAACAGACCAGGTTTTATGTACTTGTGTGCGCGACACGCAAAACAAAACACGCGAATCTAGCATCTTAAAACTCGCGAAATGTCATTATTTTTTTCTCGGTGCGCGTAAGATACCAGGTTAGGCCACCTTACCCAAAAAAGTGGGTAAATTTAATCAAAACAAAATTAGTATATTGTTCACACAATTAAAAATCATAGGCGTTGAAACAACTGTAATACCTACGTATAACGGAGATGTTTCATATTTGTATGGGTCTTGGGCTAAGTCTTGTACATAATGTACAAATAAAAGAAATCAAGAATATAGTCGACTCCGACCATTAAAATTTCCAT